CTAGGAAAAAACCCTAGCGCGTCTCTTGGCCGGAACAATGAGAATATGACATTCCTAATTCAATATTTTGAGAATGAATTTTTAATCCATGAAATAAACTCACTCCAAGGGGGTGTTTGAAACACAAACTCTTTTTATTTTTCTAAAAATCTTAAAGCAAGAATCCTAATTTCTCATGTTTGATAGTTATTTAAAAAAACTCTTAAAAATATAATTTATCGATAACTATTTTTATCTCAATTTTTCATAAAAAAAATTAATGAAGGGAATGAAAATCTAACTTTCTCGAATTAGGAAAACAGTTTTATGTATATAAAAAGATCACAGTATCCTTTTTAAAACAAGAAGTCGTTATGTTTGTCTCTCTCCTTTTTATTTCTCTTTCTCTCTCATTCTCACTTCCTCTTTCTTTCTCTCTCCTTCTATTTCTTTTTCTCACTCTCTCTCACTCTTATTCTCACCCCCACCGCTCTCCCCATCTTTTCGTCTATTTATCTTTCTCCTTCTCTCTTTGTCACTCTCACTCTCCCACTCCCCCTCCCCCTCTCTTATTTCCTCCCATATCTCTATTTATATGTCTCTCCCTCTTTCTTGTATCTCATTATTTATTGACATTGTCAATTTTATTAAATTCTTTTTTGTTTTTACAATTTAATAGTATTTGTTAGTATTTATTTACTTGTCAAGTGTGTGTGGTTATGAGAGAAAAAAGTTTCACTGTTTAAGTTATACGTAATATTAACTTAAATATAATTAAATTAACATATAAGTGTGTTTTTTATGCACGGACATATATAACTTAAAAATAATTATTTATTTTAATAATTTTACATATAATTTAAAAGGTAAAAAAATAAAAAAAAATATCATCAAACTAGGACAAGACTCAATCTTTTCTTAGCATAAAAATAAAGAATCTACTTAGTTTAACCTAGTGGCTAATGAGTTAGCCCATTAAGACGAGTCAATTTTGATAATTCTATTTTTTAATAAAATCATAAATTTAAACATATTATTCAAATTTAATAATATGAATGAGAAAATATCAATGCATAGAAGTTATATGTAAAAATGTTACCAAGAAGGATAAGAAGTTAGAAATAATTGTTTATTAAAAGATTAAAAAATATTAATTTTTTTTATTCAAATCTTATCATTTTTTATTAATAGTATTATTTATAAAAAAAATTCATATTATCTTTTGAAATCTCATTAATCCTTTAAAATCTTATAAATTTTTATGATATAATTCCTTTAAATTTCATATTATAAAATATTGATTATAAAAGTCTTTCAAAAAAGAGTCTCAAAAGTCATTACATTTTTACCAAGTCTTTTAAAAAATATCTTTAAAACTATTACATTTCTACAAAGTTTTTTAAAACACACAATAGACTTTTTTCATGATAAATATTCTCATGAAATCCCTATGTGATATACCTTCTAAGGAGAAAAAAAAAAGGAGAATTAAAATGAAGAAAAAAATTATACAAAATCTCAAAAAAAATTTATAACATTGTTAGACAAGTGAACTTTTTGCAAATTCTACTAAAAAAAATATCTCACAAAAGTCATCATTCAAAAATTAATTGAAATCAATATGTTTTTTTTAATATCGACAAATTCTTTTTAAGTGATTTTTTTTTAATTTAATATCATCAAATTTTATCTTAATTAAACATTACTGAATCTTAAATTATCATTAAAAATTTTAACTATCTTAACAAGACATTTTTAGAATAAAAAATATTTTAAAATCTTTTAAAATCATAATCTAATACATATTTTTTATGGTGAAATTTACAAGTCATTTACCATTAAACATGATGTTTATTGACCATGGATTTTCTTCTTCTTTATTTCATTGCAAACTAGCATAGATAAAAATAAATTTATTAAAGTTAAATTAATTTGATTATATTTGACGTGGATAACATAGAGGAGAGTTAAAGTATGACTTGATATAATTTTTTAAGAGTTTTTTTATTAGTTTTTCTAATAAAAAATTTCTAAAAAATAGTTCTAAATCATATTCAAATATGTTTTTAGTCTCAAGAAAAATTCGGTCAATTATATAGCAAATCATTTTCATTTTTAACATATTTTTTTTTTAATGTATATATCATCACATTTTTTTTTATCGTATACGCGTAAAATGCATAGTCCAAGTTGCTAAAAAAAAATATAAAAGTTTTAAAAAGTATTTATTAAATTGGAAATTTTGTATTACTTTTTGTGATAATTGAGAAAGTGGATCTGATGCAGCTACTATAGGAAAATGGTATAAAAAAGGATTATTGTTAAATCCGGAAAGTGAATGATGAAGATTGTTTTGCATTAAATAAAATAAAAGCAACAGAGAAAGGTGCGGAGTTAATAATGTAGTTAGAGACAGATGAGTCGCAACTCCCACCCTTGCAATTTGCAAATTCCAATCCACAGTTTGTTTGCATTTTCAAATTATTTTCTTACAACACCGCATTCATTACAATTAGGATAAACATAAACCCATTGTGTTCTCCGATTCCTCCGGCGATCATGGCCGGAACTGGAAAATTCTCCAAAACCTTGTACTTTTGCGCCCTTTTAACGGCTGTTTCCGCCCTCTGCGTCTTCCCGGCGGTGGGCTCGGCGGTGATGCGGTTGCCGTCGGAAGGGCAGAACGTGTGCGGCGGGGCGGCGGCGGGGTCGTGCCCCGTGAAATGCTTTCGGACTGACCCCGTTTGCGGCGTGGACGGCGTGACGTACTGGTGCGGGTGCAGCGAAGCGGCGTGCGCGGGCGCACAGGTTGCGAAGTTGGGGTTCTGCGAAGTGGGAAATGGCGGTTCCGTCCCTCTGTCTGGTCAGGCGCTGCTTCTGGTGCATATCGTTTGGCTCATCGTCCTTGGATTCTCTGTCTTCTTTGGTCTTTTCTAATCTCTACATCTCTCTCTCCATCTAACATACAAATTACAATACACACACTATAATACATACATACATACCCCTATGTACCATTCTTTAAGTCCCTGTATAGTAGCGTGCGTGTTTTTGGAATGACAAGATTCTTATGGTTTGGTGGACCACTTTCCAGAATCCACACAATACTTTTGTTAATTGTTACCATACATGATTCATGTTTTGTGACCATCAATTTCCGTTTCTTAGCCCAAGTTATAGCTTCATTGTCTTTAGTCCTTCTGTCACAATAATTATACGCGTTTCTATTTTCTATGTTACGTCTATTTCTTATCTCACTGTCACTGCCGCACTCGTTTAGCCTCTCAGAGAGATGTTGGAGAGAATAATGTGAGAACATTAGAAAAGTGACAAAAATAATCTCGGTATATCATTTTGTTTATTTTCATTTCTATTTTTTTAAAATTTAATTTAATTTATTAATTAACTTGACTTGACATTCAATATTTAATATACAAAAACAAAAGTTACGTTTAGCAAGAGTGTTCATTACAATTTGTTCAGCAATTGTTATGTTCTTAAATTTTATTTGAGTTTTGTTCATTAACCGAAGTTGTACACTAATTTATTTCGAGAATCGAGAGTGAATATTACTAAATTATACTTTAATTATCTATGTTTTTTTTTAAATTACACTTAATATTTTTTTTTACTTGACTTACATTAAAATCTCTTAAAAATTAAAAAGATATTGTTTTCTTAGAATTCTCTTTCTTTCGATGTGACCCCTTAAAAGTTGAAAAATATTATATTTATATTTTTTGACTTCTTTCTTTCATTAAGTCTTCCTCAAACTTCATTATCACTTCATTTTCCTCTTCCTCTTTCTCTCCCTCTAACAACTTGTTCTATAAAATAAAAAATAAAACAAAAACTTAAATATAAAAAGTTGGCATACATGTATACTCTAAGATAAGACATTTTTATTACTTTATGAATAAAACATTTTTTTGAATTAGGGACTTCAAATCTCACCTTTTAACCTCCTAATCCTATTATCTGCACAAGATGCTTTGTTTTTTTAGATAATCTATCTTTTCATTAAAATTCAGAACATCCAAAGGTGCACAACAAGCGTAAATAGGGTTGCACAATGAAAAAGAATCATATTGGAAAGAGACAAAAGGAAAAAAAATATTTAAAACAAGTATAAAACTAATACTACAGAGGAGGCAATCCAAAATTACAGTAGAACTTAGTGTAATCATATTGTTTTTGGGTATGACACTTGTCACATGGTTTCGAGTGATCTTAACACATATGCATTGTGGATTTCCTATTATTTCCATAGTAAAGATTTGAAAGTCACCGATCATTCTTTTCTTGGGTCTAGGCTAGAAGCAAACATGGCCAAGACTTTGAGAGTTTAAAGTAGTTGGTGTATGAGTAAGGTGGTAGAGGCGGAGGAGGAGGAGGAGCAGGTGATGATGGAGCTTAAGAAAGACTCAATGAAAGAAGAAAAAGCTAGAGGATGTGAATAAACATCTTTACAATTTTTAAGAGGTTTCACCAAAGGAAGGAAAATTCAAGAGTGCGAGTGTAACATTTTTCAACTTTTAAAGGATCTTACTGCAAGTCCTAATAATAGAAGGGTATTAAGTACAATCTCAAGAAAATAAAAGAGATGTGAGTGTAATTTACTTTTTTATTTTTTATTTATTTATATAGCGATGAATTAAAAAGAGTGCCTTGTGCTTGTACTACATAACTACGAGTTGTACATATAATATATCCCACAAGCTTTTACACAAATTTATTTTTAAAAAAGCTATATATAATATAATGAAATTGTTATACTCACAAGGGTTTCCTATTCATAATTATTTGTTTAATAATTTTCTTTGTATTTAATTCTTAAGGTTCCCCTAGAGTTGTCATAGTGGGTTTTCGACCCGTGAACCAACCCAGTCCACCATAAAAATAAGTTGGTCTAAGCCAAAAAAATTAAGAAATTTATAATTGGTCATAAAACTCAACCCGAGTTGCTTTTGATCTCACCCATTTGGGTTCAACCTACGAAGGGTCGGGTTGTCCACTTACACCTCTAATCAATCAAATTAGCTTGTCATGTATATATTATTTTAATAAGATAATTTTGATCCGCTTATTAATTTGATCCTCTTATTAATTTGATATTTGTTGATCGTTAAATTTTGATATTATTTGATAATTTATCATTGCTTAAATAATGTGATATTTAACGACATGACATATAATGATAAAAACTAAAAATAACATAAAAAAGATATTTATTTGTATCTATTTTTACGATGATTGATATTTATTTTATTAATAACAATATTATTTATATATTTTTATTTATAAATGTCATGTTACAAAATGTCATATCACTTAAGTATAAATAAATGTTAAAACTTAATAATTAATAAATGTAAATTTGATTGGGGACTAAAATTTTATATTTTTAAAATTAAAAAAATTGAACGTCTTTATTTTAAAATAGAAAGATGATGATAACATAAGGACCAAAAGTGTAATGTAGGCAGTTGGTATCTCATCTATTTATATATTTAAAAATCAAATAAAACTGAATTACATTATTATAAAATTTCCAAATAATAAAAAAAGAATTGGGGTTACTGATCCATTTACATTTTGGTAAAGTTACTTACTGTAGTGTATAGAGAAGATGTGATACACATTGAGTAAGAGGCCTGGGCCTGGCCCTGGCCCATTTACATATTTTATAATGTAAGACTCAAACCTTTAAAAAGCGAAATTAGGGTTTTGGGAGTTCCATTGTTCTGGTAGAGTCGCAGAGGCGTTAGGGTTGTAAGGTCGAGTCGCAACAATGAAGACCATTCTCTCCTCCGAAACCATGAACATCCCCGACGGCGTCAGCATCAAGGTTCACGCCAAGGTCATCGAGGTCGAGGGTCCCCGCGGAAAGCTCGTTCGAGACTTCAAGCATTTGAACCTCGATTTCGATCTCATCACCGACGAGAACGGAAAGAGGAAGCTTAAGATCGACGCCTGGTTCGGCTCCCGGAAAACCTCCGCCGCCATCCGCACCGCCCTCAGCCACGTCGAGAATCTCATCACTGGCGTCACCAAGGGCTACCGCTACAAGATGAGGTTCGTCTACGCTCACTTTCCCATCAACGCTAGCATCACCAACAACAACAAGTCCATCGAGATCCGAAACTTCCTTGGCGAGAAAAAGGTTTTTTTTATTTATAATTAATTTAATTTAATTGTAGGAAAATATTTTTGCGGATTTTGTTTAGTGTTTTATTTGGTTATTTGTATTATTAGGTTAGGAAGGTGGACATGCTTGAGGGCGTATCCGTTATTCGATCTGAGAAGGTGAAAGATGAATTAGTTTTGGATGGAAACGACATTGAACTTGTGTCAAGGTCTTGTGCTCTTATTAACCAGGTACCAACGTTTTTTCTCTCTGCTTATGCCCTCACCCAATCTTTTCCCAGTTTTGTTTTTTTTTGCTTTGTGTTTAATTGTTTATTTGTTTGGTACAGAAATGCCATGTGAAAAACAAGGACATTAGGAAGTTTCTGGATGGTATTTATGTGAGCGAGAAGGGCACGATTTTGGTGGATGAGTAGATGGTGAAGACCTGGGTATGGTTTTTTAGTTTGCTGTTTAGTGGTATTTGGAGACCCTTAGAGATTGGATTTTTCAGTTTTGCGCTGTCAAACTTTAATATTTTGGAATATTTTATTTGGAATTCTTACTTTTATACGCCTTGGTCTGGAATGTTTAAATGAACTAGTAATCTATCTTGCATTGCTGTCTCATGTCAATTTGTTTGTCAATGACTATTTTGCTAATTTCATGTTTTGTGTTGTGTGGTTAATTATTCAAAATCTATTAAATTAATAGTTGATTAAAATAGGGCAATAAATACTTAATTCAAGTACATGATTGAATGTGGTTAATATTTAGTCACAACTAAAAATTCAATCATTGTATACGGGGATTTGAGGTGATAACAATTTGTTCCTTTTTCAACTCCATTGGGATGATAAAGATTTTTTCTTTTTTGAGTTTCCTTTATGATATATATATATTTTCATTCTCCACAATATTATGAACACGAGAAATTCCCATTTTATTCTTTCCCTCGTAGTTTTAGTAGAACTGAATTCATTATCCAGTTTAATACTGTTTTTGTCATTTGCTTTGAGTTTTAGTTTAGGGTTGTAAATTTCATAAATTGCACCCGATAATTTTGAATTTTTTCACGACCATTGTTTCATTATATGTCAGTATGGTATATATATTGCTCTCAACCTTCTACCTATCACACGGCAATACCCGGTTGTTTTAGCTAGTGGGAATTCTATTGATGTACGAAGCACATTATATTCTCTCTCATATCTGCTTTGACAATAATCCACTCTCAGATCCATACAAATATTAAGCAGGTTGGCTAGATGCAGAAACAGAAAACTTTATTTTAAACTAACCCTTCTTTTAAGCCTCCAACCAAAATGCATGTGGTTATAATGCCCTCGCCTAAGTAAGTTTTCCATATTTTTGAACTAGTCGTGGAAGGCTGGGGCCTGCCATACTCAACGGTTCATGTGGCCTGTGGAGACTAATTATATGTGCAACAAAATTTTATCCAATATTCCGAGGTTGCAAAAATTAGCCAAGTGTATTTTTAGTGTTTCTGATGTTTAGTGTGCCCATTAGTATGTCCTTTTGTACTTGGAATGGCTATATATTCGTCAGATTCATAAAACGTTATTGGAGCTTCATTTCCATCGGCATGAAGGATTTATTAATATAAAGCAAGGCCTAGAATTGTCCCCCGATATGGGTCGTTGTAATAGTATTAGAAGGTCATCCTTGCATGGAATCTGTATGCGTTGTGCTGAATTGATAGAAGGAATCAAGTGAGGTCAAGCCGCATTTAATAAAATGTATTCACCGGCTACAGTGTAGGCATTTTTCTTTTCACTTTTTTCAATCACATTGAAACTTGTCCAAGAGGTTGTAGTTCAGGATCATTCAAATATTAAAACCAGAAAAAAAAAACAAACGACGAACTAAGGCAAAGTATCTTCCCTAACTACATGTAATGCAAAGGGTGAGAGATGGCACCACCTTACATTACTTTCATTAATCCTAGTACAGTATTACTCCATTTCCAAGGCGTGTGCGACTCCAAAAAAAAGACTATCCATCCATAAATCCTTGATCTGATCAATAACATCTCCGTGTTGGTGCCGATTGGCATTACTTCTGTAGGACCCTTAGGCCTTAACCCTATTCCTCAGCATAGTTGAAGCCCTTCTATCGCCTGCACGCGGGTCATCTACCGACAGCATCATACCTTATCACACCAACACCCATTTTTTCTGATTGATGCAGCCAACTTCCAACAATTGAGATTTATGCAGGGGTTCCCTGGTGCCACCCACCTGGATCTCCAATTATGTCTATTAACTATTTATTTAATATTCCAGTTTTTTTAATCTTCAAAAGTGATTATAAAAAAGTGATTTTAAAAAAATGTTTTTCCTAGAAACAGAATTTGTTTATTAAAATAGTAAAATTGTTTGTTATTAAACTCATTAGCTTGACAATCACTAAAAATCAGAAAACTGTTTCATTAATTTTTTCAAAAAAAGAAAAGCTTAAACAAACAAATATATTATAAAATGACATTCTTATTAAGAGGCTTTAACATTTATTGCATATTCTAAAGCATTCAAGTCAATACTAACCGGTGTCTTTAGGATACTAGAATCAAATTTTTATTTATTTATTTATTTTATAGTAAAAATGTTATCAATACATTTCACCGTGATGTCTAATGCCTCCTTGATAGGATGCACATTAATCATATTAAAGGAAGCACTAATTTTTATGTTTAAAAACTGTTTAGTTTTCAATAAATAAAATATAAAAAAATCTTGTTTGATGGGGGAAAAACAGATTTATCTTCGTGTTTATTATTTAACGAGTTGTCTCTGATATTTTTTTTCCCATGCATGTGATGTGCCAACATTCTCATCAAATAATGATAGTGTCCTTGACTATGTTTTGGCGAGGGTGAAATGTGTCTCGTAGTTTGTTCGATGAAAATATGAAGGGCTGGCAAGTCAACCCAATACTTTGTTGCATTCAAATATGGCAAATAGTTTTTCTATGCAAAGCTTCTCCCCCTAAAATGGAATGCCTTATGCTCAACTACTTGGACACCCCATTACAAACGAAATGTCACATTCAAGCGATTTAAAGTAAATTTAATAACTAACTCCTGAAAATTAAACAGATTCGTGGACCTTGTTCATAATTAACATCACTCTGTCTTTTCACTCTAAGGACTACCATCACAAAATCGGGTAGCACCCATTATGCTTCAATACAGTAAATGCTGTATATATATATTTAAAGGAATTAAGCTAAAACTTTTATTAGAAATATTATACTAGTCCACCGTGATTTCTAATGCATTCTTTATGTAAATTTTATTTATTAATATAATCTTTATTAAAAAGCTAGCTAGCATAAATTTCCTAAAATTTTTCATCGAAATTCAAACAATGCCATAAGTTTGTTAACAGGCAGGCGAGCATCATTTAAGGAACCACTAGTATGGTATACATGAGAGAAAGCAAAATAGCTCCTTCTCTTTTCATTATTTCCTGTTTTCTCCCCAAATTTGTCGGTTAAGAATGATGAGATACATAAACTACTTGTATTCTGTGATAAATACCACAGCGACTAGAAATATGAATCCAACCAAACTCCCGATTTCTGCTCTCCAAAGTCGGAACTCAATTTTCACAGCTATCTCCATAAATCAAAAAACAAATGAATTCATTAAAATGGTAAGTTCTATAAATTCTTAAGACTATTCCTGTTTTGGTGGGCTCTGAAGTGAAAATCCAGATTTTCCACGATATTCTGGGATTTCACTAGTTACAGTAGCAGTTGTTGAGCTCTCCCCTTTAACCTCACCAGAAGAATCATTTCCATCTAATTGTCCTGCTATTGAAGAGGGTGTAGTTCCGCTATGCTTATCACTGGAAACATTACCAAGCAGACTTTTATACATAGTAAGGGCTTGGGCCATCATGTTAGCTGGATTGGATGCAGAGCTAGGAAGCAACATTGTTGTACCCTGAGGAAAAAGTAAAGAAGAAATGAAAAACAATTTTCGAACTATAACAAATTTTGTAATGCAGAAAACTTGAATATCAATCTGTTTATAGGCTATTTACCTCCTTGGCTATGTTACTGAAAGCTTGAATATATTGCTCTGCAATCCTTAAACTAGCTGCCTGCAAATCAAATGACAATGTTAATTCCTCTGTTATTCCATGGGACGCAAACATGGTTAAAACTTGAAATAAATTTGCCAGATAAGAGGCAATTTTATACACCAGATTCACCCCATGATGTTTTCCCCATCGTCAACAACAGCACCAAAATAAAATAATAAACCCTTCTACCCTATTTATTGGTCACATGCTTGAATGTCCTCATGAAATCAAACATCAAACATTTATAAACAGTCAACCAGATTCTGCATTGAAAACTCTGACTGGGATAATGTGGTTTACATACAAAAGTCTCTCAGTCACTCAAACATCCAGTCTATATGGCTGGAATGACACATCCAAAAACAAAAACTGCCAAGCATCAATGACATATAAACAACAGAAATCTATCCATAAGGTGTTTGCTTTATACACATTTTTCGGCCAACACAATTTAAGAATATACATGAAGGGCTAGAAAATTACAAAAGTGATACAAATGTAAGAATTTTAGCATATGCAACCTATAACAATAAAAAATGAGTTAAACTAATCAACATATAGATCACAGCTAGTACAAGCTGTGATATATGGAATATGAAAAAAATGAAGACCCTCACCTCTGGTCCACCATTTTCTTTTAGGGATTTTGACACAAGAGCCAATCCCTCAGCTGTTGCTTTTGCTTTAGCAAGGATGGCTTCAGCCTCACCTGAAGACGAGTTATGTTAAATATGGGATTTTAAATATATCAAATCAACTGACAGAAATTGATAGATAAAAAAAAACAGAAGCAGGCATGCCAAATTGAACACAACATCAATGGTTGCATGTTATAATTAACCTTGAGCTCTGTTAACTTGATCCATTCTTGAAGCTTCTGATGCTAAGATCACTGAACTCTTCTTTCCATCAGCGATGTTTATATGGGCCTGTCTTTCTCCTGTTTAACACTACAGGTGATCAAAAATAATGCAGAATAAGATGAATTTAACATATGAAGGATTGAAATGTCGTGTTGGATACCTTCAGACTCAAGAATTTGAGCTCTCTTTTTTCGTTCTGCTTCTGCTTGCATCTCCATGGCTGCTCTCACTCCACGTGGAGGAGAGATATCCCCTACAAAAGGACAACCATAAAAGGGGTTACACATATACTGTCAACTAAAACATATAGGAAAATTATTTATAAATTGCCAAAATTTACTTATTTCATATCGAAGGCACTCCAGACCCCAACTTTTTGCTGCCACATTAATGGACTCCTGCAATAATTTTGTCACACAATTAACCATTATAATATGGATGCAGATGATAAATGAGTTGTTCTTTATATGCTTCTTCAAAACATATATGAAAATTCTGCTTGTACTTTTTTAAGGGTACATCAGACAAAAAACACAAACTCCTATGTATTAATTCTTTGGCACCAAGCCAGCTTAGAAACCACGTTCATGTTTATTATACCACCTAATATATAAACCCCTAAGCAATTGTAAGAAATGCTTCCTAACCACACACACACAAAAAAAAACTATCAAATACACAAGGTGCATATGTTATGGGACATTAAATACATCCTATTAAATGCTTTCAAGCAAGGTTCTCAAACTCAAAAAAGTCTAGATAAATGCATGGAGCTTCTGTAAATTTGTATTTTATAAAAAATAATATTAAAAATCTATTAATGATATATGTGCATAACATGATCAGAAGACAACAATAATTCAACATTTCAACTCCATAATAAAGCATGGTAGCAAACCACAATAATAAACTGTGACAGTACATCAGTACTAAATAAGATCAAACTACATAAATGACCAAATCATACATTAACTCATAAAAACAAGTTCCTAAAGTGAAATCATTTCAAAAAGGAGTTAATTTCTTCAAATCATTTGAGTCATACTGAAACATTGACACTGTAGGGACAATGGGGGGCAAAAATTACACTTGATTTCAAACTTGCTAACTTTGTGATTAGAGAGTTTCCGTGAGTTTACACAAGATTAAAGAATTTACCAAGGTTTATCCAGACTGTAAACCCTGAAAATCAGTTAACTCACTCTCTCTACCTAGAACTGTAAGCTCACAAGATTCTATGACTTAACTCAAGAGTTTGACAACAATTCTTCCAAGCATTTAAAAACATTTGCATTAAATTGTTGTGTTTGTGATCTAATAAATGTATTTTTAAAATACAACTATATATTTTTATCCCATTAACAGATGTACTGTGTGCATTATATAAAATCGAATTAAAATACATCTTTAGTGGATAGTGTATACTGATAAGGTTTCTTAAAATACTTTGTCGCCAGCAAGTGCAAGATTTGGAATCTAAATTTGTGAAAGGAAAGAAAGGCACATGCCAATCCTAACTGCAGAGATGTGTTACACTTTTCTGAATCTAGAGAATAAAACACAAGGGAACAAGGGATGGGAAATAGAGAGGGGTATTCAATTTAAAACTTGTTAACTATAGTAAAAGCAATCATATCATAGAATGACATATTGACACAGCTCATGCACAGAAGTTTCTCAAGAGGAGCACGCACACGGTACACATCAACATGGTATTTATATTTTATACATCAGACTTCACTAGGATATATTAACACTAGTATGATATTCATTACATTCATAATTACAATACTGATCACTTTCTGAAATAGGCACTAATTGACCTTACTCTTACCATCTTACGCACAAGTCTACAAGATATTTCTAACATATGGATTCATGAATATAGCGCACCAAATTCGTTATATATGGATGATGAGGTTCCAGTACAGAGCCACTCGTTCTTTTTCCTCTGACAGACAGTCAAAACTTCATTTGGGTTCATTAAAATTCAAAAACCACAAAACTAATCCAAATACTATCAAACACAAAGCACACGAGGCTAGCATAGATTTAGTTTGCCACACTGACTAAACAAAAAAACACTGAATGGGTAATATGTTATCTTAAGTTAAGAACCAACACAATCATTACAAAATTTTCATCTGTAGCTATTATCTGGTATCTCCTTTTCTTTCCTCTTTATATTAATGTGTTGAAGAGGGACTATGAAAATATAAGTTGAACAAATCCTCCTTTCCACTTCCACATTTTGCATCTCCATCAAAATATCAAGATTGAAAAAGGATATCCACCAACAAGATCTAAAATGTAACTTCAAATTAAAGTAGCTAAAATCCTTCCTTAACTAAGAAATACGATCTTGCATGAAAATGACTAGCACAACCAACGAGTTGAGAGAACTAAACTCACCACAATCTTTTCATTGAGCGTGTCCCTTTCCTCAAAGGTCTTGTCAAGAGTAATCTTACCGAGCTCGCTACGCATTGTGGTCTGCGCCAGCTGAATGACGGCATAAATAGGATTCTCCACCCCATAAGAAGCCAGCTTAGGATCCACAATCTACACTCCCAGAACAAAAAGAAAACAACAAATAAACAAAAAAAAAGCCACTAAACAGTCAAATACAATTAGCAAACACAGAGACCCAGAATCAAAACGGGAAACCTTGACATAAAGCACACCATCGATTAGGATGGTGACATTGTCCTTGGTAATAGCACTCTGGTCGGGAATGTTTATAGCCTCCTCTTTGAGCGAATGCACATAGGCAATACGATCAACAAAGGGAATCAAAAAGTGAATGCCGGAGGGAAGAGTCTTAACATATTTGCCGAATCTTTCAATCACAAACGCCTTCTTCTCCGGCACAATCCGGATTCCCCAATTCACGGGCGGAATGATCTCATAGTTCCTGCAAAACAATTCAGAATTAGAAAATGAAAAAATAAATGGGAATTAGATCGCAGGAAAACCTAACGGCACCTTGAACTAACGGGATCGCGACCAGTGCGGAGATAGCGTACGGAGGAGAAATGAGAAGGCGTGGGGCTAGTGAATGCGAAGGAATGCCTCAAACAACGCACTGCGTTTCTTGTTGCGTTGGTTTTCCAAATGGTCGCCATTTTCGTGTGTTGGAGTTCTCTGCACTTGCTTTCAACTTTCAACAAAACCCTAGTAAAACCTCCTTACTCCTTCATCTAATTTCCACTTTCACCCTACACACCCATCACATTATTTAATTTTAAGAAATTCTTTTTAATTAACTTCATATTTTACATGGTTTTACAAAAAAAAATAAATAGAGTTTATATAAAATCAGAGATGACTCCTTTGGGGAAATAATTTTTCACTGTGCTACAAGTTTTTTATTTATTTATTTTTTTTAATTTTTTTATGGCACACTATACTGCAAGTTAAAATGTTTTTGCTTAAATTAACTAGTATTTTAGGATTTCATTTTTTTAAAATGTACTCTTCAGTATTCCCATTCAATTATTACTTTATATATTAATTTTCTCTCTTTAAATCTGAGTTACTTATGGCCTAAAATTAACTACTTTGAAATTTATCATTATATATTAAATTAAATTTATCATCGGATTTGAGTCTTTGTTTTTTCACTTAGATTTTTCTTCAACTTTTATTTTATTTACTCTTATGTTTGTCTTTTTTATTTATTATTATTATTATTTTACATTGTTGCACCTATACACCAAATTGAACAATGCACCGACTTTATATTGCACTTGTGAAAAATTGTCATTTCATGTATTAGTAAGATTATATTATTATTTTTTTTATTTTTTTTATTTAATTTTATTTATTTTAGACAATCATAATATTGGTATGAGATATTTGAATTTGTCTAATTGTTTTTAGTGGGGTGTATCTTCTCAACCTCATTTTTTTACACAAAAACTTGAACTTGAGACTTTATTTAATGAGGCCAATTCCAATACCACCATAATCAACAACCTGCTGATATATACATATATAGGAGATGTAATTGCTTTTTGGTCTCCATTTTTTAATGGACCATTATACTCCCAGATATAAAAGAAATTTTAAATTTTTTTAAAATAATTATATACAATTTTATAATATTTTATTAGTAAATAACTATTAGAGGCACGAAGTGCCTCTACCCCTCTAGTATATATAGGAGGGTTTAAACGATACTGGTGTAATTTTTACTAAATGTTACACTACTCAATAATTTTATATTAAATGTGAATTTTGAAAATCCAACCGTTAGATTGAAAGTTCATATCTCTTAGATTATATATATCAAATTTTATATTAATCTAAGATGATTTGATACTTCATTCTCATAAAACAAAATTGACGTAATATATACATTTCAAAATATACTAAAATATGAACACTTTGATTACCTTCAAGTTGTTATTCAATTTTAATAAAATTTGACATATATGATCTAAGAGATATGAACTTTCAATCTAACAGTTGAATTTTCAAAATTCACATTTAATATAAAGTTATTAAGCGGTGTAACACTTAATAAAAGTTACACCAGTGTCATTTGAACCCTCCTTATATATATATATATATATAAATTTATAGTTATTGTGGATTAAACAACTTATTATTTTGTGTTGAAGTGTATCTTTTTCAAGTGTTATGCATAGATTGCAGAAAAGTTACTTGGAGTTTAAAGTGGAATCTACAACTTATGACTATAATATACTCGGTAAGATTTATTCAATGTACTAATTCCCTTCAATTTGCTGCTACTTTATACGCCATATAAAACGAATTAAGGCATATTAAGGTGCTTAACTACCTTAAAAAACGGTGTTTAACTACACACATTAAATTAGTAAGCATATATGAAAAAAATGGCTTAATTATGTTTTAGTATTCCAAAAATTAAGGATAATTATTTTTTTTCCAAAATTTAAAATTTATATTTTCAGTACTTGTAATTTTTAAAAATATATTATTTTAGTACCCCTATATATTCTTCAAGTTTCTCAAATCTAAAACATGTATTTAGTCTTCAAAATATAAAAGTTATTATTTTAATTCCTCAAATTTAAAATTTATTATTTTAGTTCTTATAATTTTAAAAATATTATTTTAGTCTCTCATGATCACTGATAATATAATTGATAATAATAAATTAAGACAAATTTATAATATTAATTGATTAATGTAATATTTTCATTAACAATGATACTAATAATAATATAATTTCCAATGATAAAATAAGATAATTTTATAATATTAGTAATAACATAATTGACAGTAATAAATTAAGATAGTTTTATAGTATTAATTGGCCTAATGTAATATTTTTATTAATAATGTATCAGTAAAATAATTCTATGAGATAGATTAATTAATAATAATTCAACAAAGGGACTAAAATAATAATTTTTTTATATTATATTATGAAGGCTAAAAACACACATCTTAAATATGAGAAACCAAAATAATAATTTTTTATATATATATTTTAGAGATTGAAAACACAAATTTTAAATTTTATAAAAAAAAAATACATACTTCAAATCAAATGTGAAGGATTAAATTAAAAAAAAAATTGATACGCATATAGTTAATTAATCAAAACAAAAAATTTGAGTTTCTCTCTTTTGTGTTTAACTTAATAATACCTTGTATTTGGGCGACAAAACTATATAATATAATATAATATTAAACAAGTTGAATTATGAAAATTTATTAGAAACCTAAGATTCGAGGAACATTTATGAATCCACTCCTCTTATCAACTAGACAAACTTTTGTTTAACCGTCAATAAAACTCTTAATAATTATTATGTCTTTTTAATTATTATTATGTCTTTATTATTATTATGTCTTTATTATTATTATGTGAACAATTTTCAAAGTAAGGGATCAAATATTGTATGTGTAATATTTTGGGTTTTAGATATGCTTGAGAGTGAGTGTAGAAAAAAAACTATTAGTATTATTAAAGGGGCTGAGATACTTAATATTTTTAATCATTACATGCAGACAGAATATTATAAGGTTACGCGTAGTTATTTAGAGAAGATATAAGAATTTTTTTTTTTATCTAAGAGATATAATGATTCACCAAAAAGTAGAGGCCAAAAGCAGTTATATACCGCAACATCTCCTTTATAACAAGTATATATATAAGAATTTTTTTTTTCATCGGGATATAAGGATCTACAAAAAAGTGAAAATAAAAAACAGTTACATATCGTAGTATCCTCTTATATAAATATAGAGTAACTAAAAAAGAAAAAAGTTTCATATCTCAGATTTTGATGTCACATATTTTTTCATTTAGTTATTTTATACTATTTTTTTAAAATAATTATAATATTAATATGAAATATCTATCATAAAAAAACACAAACTAATCTTTATTGAGATAGTACTTTTATTATATCTAAGTAAATGATGATCGAGATTTTGAATTTTAATTTTTTTAAAAGGTTCAAGCGGATGAAGTTTTATGCATCTCTATGGAGTTGATTTTAAAGTGTTTAATGTTTCCGCAAGAATTTAACATTCGAACCAATATAAAATTTAAAGATCTCCTTAAACCATTGGTGTTTTATAACAGGCACTAGCACTAAGTAATATCCTAACAGTTAATAGATAGTGTTGAATAACTCAAGGAGTTAAGGTCACTTGTGTTGGATTAATTGACTGACTATTATTAAATTCCTTTTATTTTTAAGTAGTTAAGGAGTTAACATTTCAAGAAAGTTGAAATACATGAAATTTGAATTAAATTCCTTTCATTTTTAAGTTATGACAAAGGAAGTGATTAAAGGGGTGAACATGATTTGATTGTACAGGGAGCGTTGGGTTCGGCTGCTACGTTTTGCTTAATTTATTGGGCAATTGCAATCAAAGGACCAACTTATCCCACAATGTTCAATCCACTGACTCTTATTTTTGTGGCCATATGAGAAGCTATATTACTGGGTGAACCAATCAGACTTGGCATGTATGAACGAATATATGTTTTTCCTTCATAATTAATTAACAATCAACCATTTGGTCCTGCAACAAACTGGCTTTTCTTAACTACCTGTTTGATAATCCAACATTGCTATTTATGCATATCTATGAAAATGATTAATGTGAAATCAGAACTTAATTATTGATTTGCAGCTTGTTGGGCATGGTGTGGATCCTAATGGGATTGTACTCATTTTTGTGGGGTAAAGGTGTTGGATTCAAACAAGTCCCACATCGATAAAATAACATAACAAATAATAACTTATATAATACAAACATACTTCAATGATTGAGAGGCTTTTTAGGTGATGACCAAAAGCAAAACCGTGAGGGCTAAGTCCCAAAGCGGACAATATCTTATCATTGTGGAGTATGTTTGTGTAATAACCTTATAAAAATAACTCATAAAATATCCTCTCAAATAACCCTATCAAAAGCAATGGAGACAGAATGTTTGGTTCAAGCATCAGGAGAAGTTTCAACAAGCTTGGCAACTGAGTCTGCCGGAGTACACTCCACAGCCATACTGATACCAAGTTTGTCAACTAGCAATGCAGTTCTTGGAGTCGAAAAGATTGACAGAACCTGAAAAATATTATCGATCAGGGGACTTTTATTTACCTTTTTGGAATACATTAAATTCGATATATTATAATAATGTGTCATATTATACATACATTGAGGTGTACGAGTCATCTTCATTTTAAGGCATCTAGACTTGTGATTATTATTAATTTTTTAATACTAAGTAAAACGTGTTGATATGTCCAAGTAAAAAATTAATTACATTGATAAGGTATAATAAATGTGTAAGGAATTTTGTTACATCAACATGATGCACACATATAAGGTTTAAAAGAATAAACGATAAGATTGTTATATTTTAGATGGTCAGGGTTTTTTTTTTTTTTTTTCACTAGGTAGGAGATGAATCTCTTTGTAATAACATTACCGAGATCCGAATATTTCAATAAATTTTATCAATAAAATATTTTTTCATTTCAAAATTTATATTTAAAAGAATAAATAATTAGATTGTGACACTTCACACAATCAAGTGTTTTGTTTTTCCACCGGAGAATATAAAACCTTTGTGTGGTAAATCTTTTATTACCCTTCATTTCATCCTTTAAACCAAAAAATTATTAAATATCTAAATTAAAATATATTTAAAAAAAACGTTTTGTAAGAAGATAAACTACTTCCATCTTATCCATTATAACTATATTTGTTTTGATAAAAAGATATTTTGATTTTCAAAAATTTTTGCAAAAAAAAAATATTATTAAAAATATAATTCAATTCATTTCCATGTGTTTCATACATCAATACATCAACATACATCTTCTATATACATCATCCCAGATCAATAAATAAAAAGATCAAACCACACCATCATACATAGCATACCAATGCTAGATAACTTATTTATAATAATATATCAATGCCTTATCCACCACTCCAACCATGAAAATTGTAGCATATTCATCATACATAACATATTAATACTCATCACTAATTTCAATAATGTAGTTACAACATACTAATGTTCAACTGATAGTTCAACCATACAAAAGGGTAGCATGTCAATGCTTATCAACACTTCAACCATGCAAGAAATAGCATACCAATGCACATCATCATACAACATCTACATATATCATCACATATCAACATACATAGATCTATCAGTCCTCATACATTATACAACATACAATAGAATCAAATACTCCATTCATGTTCACCAATCAACAGGCAAATCAACATATAAACATAATACAACTTACGTTTGGTATAACTTAACTCACACCCAACACCGTTGAGACAAGAAGCTCTCTATCTCGCCTATACCCAATGCCACTCAACTCGCACTCAACATGGTTAAGGTAGGAAATTCGTAGGACCTCAAAATCCCATGCCCAGCCTCACGCCAACTTGAGGTGATTCTCTCTCCTCATGTTTGGCGCCACCGATTCTACACCCAATGTAAGTATAACAAAATTTCCTTATTGAAGGCTCACTCGATGCCATATTAGAAATCTGCATATGTAGGTCATGAAAATTGTCCTAAAACCTGAAACTCGGAAAAATCCAAGCATGCAAAGCCTCATATCATACATTTACAACACCCCCAACTCAACCTTGACATAAGAAACAACATGCAACCACCAATTAAGTAAATCACCAAATTTTCATCTTCATGAACCTAATTCACTCTAGTTCAACATTTTCAACCAAAATTCATGAAATTAACCAATATACTCACACTCATTCTCCATTCAATTCATGCATAATCCACATATCATAATAAAACAATCCTAGCTTCCTGTACCTTTAATCCAAACTAAATTGAGAAAGAAGATGAGAAGGGAAGAATGGCTCCAAGTTTCGAATCACCCAAGTTCCAAGTTTCAAATCACCCTTACTTTGCACCAACCTACAGATTTTGAACTCCAATAGGCAGAAGAAGTGGAATCCAACCCTCTTTAGCACCCAAGACTAAGACGCTCTAGGAACTAAGAGAAGAAAAACAAAGGTTTCAGCCACTGAGACTCTCAAAATCAACCACAACATACACACACCTCACCCAGTCGAAAGAAAACAAACGGTTAGTATAGTGTTACAACTCCTATAAAAATAAAGTTGTACATTCGATTATGACTCTATTTTTAAATTGAAGGTCAAACCTTAGTCTTTAATTAAGGATTACAAGTGTCAAACTATTTTAATTAATAACTTTTAGTGAATTTCAATTTTAGTACATGTAAAATCTAGCACAATCAATTAATTCCTCATGTATTGATAAATTAGTATTTTTCACAATCCTTTAATTATCAATTAATATTGATATCTAATATTTAAACCTCGTGTAAATTTTAAAAGTCTAAAAGCTTACTAAATTAGATTAGTTAAAATTAAGTTTATCAAATCAAATAACTAATATGACTACATTAAGAGTTAAGTTTTTTTGACACAGTATCAAGAGTTAATTATATTTTTAATCAAGATGAGAATCTTCGGTTTTTTTCCATCAAATGATTGGTCTCTATGTCTCCTTTTGCTCCCTTATTTATAAGAATGTGTTATATGTGTTCTTAATTATTTACATAAATGAGGAATAAAAATAGGCGATATTTTTTAATAAAGAACAAGGATTACATTAACACATTTTCGTAAACAATAAAAAATAATTTATTTTTTAAGGTGCTAAAAAATAGCATTGTCTTATACTCTTATCTACGAAGTTTTAAAATATATTTAACTATATATTATTAAAATATAAAAAAAATGTAAAATTTTTCTAACTACACATTTTCGTTTTATACGATAAACAATTGTACAGTTCTTCCTTATCACCACGAAATTGAACGAGTTCATCATTTTCTGTGTGCTAAATATTCACGAAAGTTTGGTACATTGAAAATGAAAAATTTACTCTAGATTACGACCAGAATATGAAGAAATTACGACCCTTGAAGGCAAGAGTTTGACAAGAATTTGTTTGATTCAGAGACTTTGACATTTGGTCTTGGTCTCGTATGAGTTATTAAATACGACCCTTCCGTGTTTGGAATTGAAACTTAAATATATAGAAAAAAATGAAGAAAAATATTAAGTATTTGTTTATTTTAATTTATCAGAAAGGGATTAACAATAGGACATTAAAAAACTTTATGTTGCAAATTATAAAAGAAATTTAAAAAGTATATAAAACATTATGATTAAATTAATTTATACGTTGAAAGGCGAATCCAGAAGTTATTGATTCACCAATGGACTGTTGGTCATGACTCATGACCAATGGGCATTAGCAGACGCTGATTCGTGGATGCCAAACTTGATCGTTTACTTTCGGCGAAAAACAAAAACTTTATTAAGTCGATGGCGCCAATGCACCACTACATATTTTTTTACAAGAATGGATAATTTGTTTTAAGAAAATTGTTGGAATGTCTAAATTTTAATTCTTTTTACGAAAAAAGAGTAAGTGGAGTATCTAAGAGACAATTCGTAATTTAAATTGGTTTTTTAGTTTGTATATCAATATTTTGTATGTTAATAAATAAATTACGTGATTAGAAAAATAAAAAAATAAAAAATAATGGTGTATAAAATATAGTAGTAGAATTTAAAATATAATTTGGCAATAGTAAGATTCCAATATTTGGTAATTTAGGTGAGGGTGAAATCAGTTAGGGCGAATGAGGCGCATGATAAATGTGATATTGCCGTTGGACAGTTAAAGTGCGGTGGGAAAAGTATAAAGCGAGGAAGCGTTATGCTATTTATGAGACATCATATCCTATTATGTCTCTGTCTCTCTGCTTTCCCTTCAATTTCCTTAACCCCATTTCCTTCCTTCAAACCTTTTTACTTTTTCTTTTCATTTTTCAAACCACTTTCATTGTCTATAAATAAACATTTCATCTAAAGACCATCATTGTTGATTGGGTTTTGACGTAGAATGAGAACAGATAGGTGGGCTAAGAGCATGGGAAGGATTTCGAGGATTGGCAGTTTAGCAATTGCGTCAAAGGAAAACCAACAACAACCTAGTATTACATGTACCACGTTTAACATTCTCGCTCCAATTTACAAGCGCATCAACGATGAGGTTTTTATCTTTTTCTTAAATGATAAACCCCTTCAAATGGGTATTTTCAAAATTTCATTTTTTTTTGTTAATTTTGTTTTGGGAAGCAGGATCCGAGTTGCCGTGAGAGCGACTACAGAGCGTATTGGTTGGCGAGGAATCACAGAATATTGGACTGGTTGTTGAATGAGATGTCTTCTATTATCTGTCTTCAGGTTTGTGTGGTCAAAGTGAAATTGATTGTAGTGACATTCTATTATTATTAATATTGCGTAATAATGGGGTTAAGGCTGATGATGAATTACGCAGGAATTTTGGGTTGGAAACGAAGAACTTGTTAACTTGTACGAGAATAGACTTGGTGATGCTGGCTATGTCAGTTTCAAACTTGGAAGGACTAACAACCGTGGGGATGGTATCCTCAATTTCTAAACACCCCTTTGGATTAGTATTATTAGTTTTGTCAAAATTTCATCTTCTTCTTTATGGCAAAAAAGTATTCATTGCAGAATTTAAAAGGGTAGTTTGCCTTTCTTCCCAGGGGACTTTTTTTTTTTTTTTTTTGTTTCATGGGACTATATGGTAACAAACAACCCTCCGCATGGCAATGTTCTTATGCTTCCATTAATGCCCCGTCTCATTTTATTTGAATATTTGTTGTGGTTTGGACCTCAGCAGGCACAGATGCTCATATTTGGATTTGGATCCTCTCATGAGACACTTTTATCCGATGAAATCTCAACTTCTGATTAAAAAAAAAGAGAGAAGATTTCAATAATACTAAAAAAAAAAGGAAGGTATAAGGTTTTAATGGTGGAAATTTTCACCGGAAATCATCCAAGTGAAAATCTCACATGAGAAGATCCATTCCCCCATATTCAATGTCCAAAACTATCTTGTTAAGAAGATAATTGTGGAAAAAAAAAAAAAAAAATTCTCTTATTAATTATTAATTAATTATGCTGTACATTTACAACTATACATTTACCGGTACATTTATTTCTTAAGGATATTATTGGAAAGAAAGTAGTTATTATAATACATTCTTCATCTTGATATTATAAAGTTACCAATTTGAGACGGAAATATTCCATGACAAATAAAATGAGACGGTGGTATTATGTTGTTATAGATTCCTCTCATGTTGAAGTTTGTTTGTTAAATGTTCTCTTTTGCAAATATTCTTAAATTTTGATGAGTCTCGACATCTGCAATGGATATGAAGATTGATGGAAAAAGAATTTCACCGTCTTGTGAAAATTCAACCAAAAAAATCCATTTGCAATCTGATGAACTAATTTGTTGAAATTGGCTACTGGGAATACTACATGTTGGGTCCAGAAAGTATTCGAGAAAGGGAAAAAACATTTAACTTTGGTTTTATTGGGGAAAAATATGTTCTATTTTTAATTTTCATGTAAATGAAACTTTCAGTCATTTAAATGGTAATCCGGCTCTCATATTGTTAACTTCCATGTCCTTAGTTTTGTTCCAAAATTGGCTGTTGAAGATTTATGACAAAGTACAAATTCTCATTTATTTTCCTCTGGGTTCTACAGGTCTTCTAATAGCAGTGCAAAAGGAATACTTTAATATTCTAAATTATAAGGAATTGCACTTCAATGACTTTGGTGATCGTGTGGCTCAGTTGTTACATGTTGAACTAGCTTCTCCGTTCACACAATGGCGAAACAGTAATATTAGGCAGGAAATTTTGATTGTTAACACTCACCTGTTATTTCCCCATGATTCAACTCTATCCCTTGTACGATTGCAGCAGGTATTTAACCATTTAAATGTGACATCTATTCTAAATCAATTACCAACTGTTAAGCATGGTGTCTCACTTAGGTTGATATCTTAAATTTTACACTTGTGTAGGTCTACAAGATACTTCAATATGTAGAATCTTATCAGAATGATTTCCAACTCAAGCCGATGCCAATAATGTTATGCGGGTAAACTCGAAATGGACTTCCATGTACTTCTTTTGTTTAAAATACTTGAATCGTGTTTTTATTTACAATTTTATTTATTTATTTTTTATTTCTTAGTGACTGGAATGGAAGCAAACGTGGACATGTCTACAAGTTCCTGAGATCTCAGGGCTTTGTATCATCATATGATACTGCACATCATTACACTGATGCAGATGCTGACAAGGTCATATATTTAGCATTGCCTTGAGTTTTTTTTTCTTCTAGACAATATGCCCATCACTTATATTTATTTTAACATTGTGTCAATGCAGTGGGTTAGCCATCGCAATCATCGTGGAAATATATGTGCCGTTGATTTTATTTGGCTTCTAAATCCTGACAAATATCGGAAACTGCTAAAAGCAAGTTGGAGTGAAGCAGTGTTTGGCATGTTCAAGGTATTCATAAAATCTTTGGACCTAGACTCAATTATAAAGCGTGATTATTTTACCATCTGTTTTTTGGAATTTGGAACATATATCTTTATATGACGCTTGTCTCCAAAAGATTTAACATTATTGTCCTATTAGCAAAAGTAGGCTTGGACACTTAATATGAGAACTCTCAGTGTTGGACAAGGATTCTAATGTTGTAGTTGTCTTTCTCTTAAACGTTAATACATCTAATTAGTGTATTCAATAAACTTGTTAAAGAGATAGTGTCTGGTAAAAACGTACAGTTACATGTATAATGTTGTTGAACAGAGGGAAGAGATAGAGTTTGGCAGTAAAGAATCTTTTTTGTTAACATTTGTTATGTCAGGGAGGAGATTACTTCATCTGTAATCATATTTTAATGGATATAATGTTTCTTCATACCCCCATTTCACTGTAATTATATCTATGCGTGGGCTTCTTCTAACCAACCATCATTATGAATGTAGAAAAGATGTTATTTTATCGAGTCAAAGTTAGCACCATTCCTTTATTTATTTATTGTGGAACATAATTGTCATTCGCAATAAGTTTCTCCTTTTTTCAGTATCTACTGCGGAGAGCATCACTGACTGAGAGTGATGCATTTGCCTTTCTAAAGGCTGATAATGAAGATTGTATTACCTATTTTGGTTTCTGTGAAGCACTTCGACAGGTATTTTGTAGTAGTAACTGTAGGATGATCACTCTAAAATTTTAGTTAATGCTTGTGATTGTCCGTTAAATCCTGATTTTATAGTTGTTTTTTTTTTAATTCTGTGCACAGCTCAATTTAACTGGTCATTCCCATGGATTGGGTGATGAAGAGATAAATGACCTGTGGCTCCAAGCAGATGTAGATGGAAACGGTGTTCTTGATTATAAAGAATTTCTGGTAAAGCATTAGACATTAAGTTAGAATTACATCTTGATATAAACATATATCATACAAGAAGACTCCGAAGGCATAATAATAAAAAAAATGTCATATAGTGAAGTGAAACTTTTTTGTGAAAATTCTTATTTTGTTTGATTACACACACCTAGTGAGATAAGGCTTTTATTTTTTAAATCCTTTGTTCCTTGTTTGTTGGCTAAATCCATGGTTTTAATATTTGCTGATGCAGCAGCAAATCTGGAACACAGGACCAGATCAAAGAGATGACAACAAAAATGGGGAGAAAGAAGAGGGTTCAAATGATGCACAGGAGCAAACAATTGGTTTCAGTGTGAAAAATGCAGTTTTGTTCCCCCCTGAGGTGGAGAAAGGTAGATGGCCTGAAGACTACTCCCTTTCTGATCATGCAAGACTCACAGTAGTCTTTTCACCAATAAGAATGCCATGCTCCCAGATGATTTGCTGACATTGATTGCTTTAGGTTTTAGAATAATGTACATATGTCAATGCAAGGAATGGAATATGGGTGAAGCAGTTGAACGAGCAAGGAAAGATACAACAAGACTTGTTCCTTTCTAGGGAGTGATTTTAAAGAGCCCTGTGTTGTGATTGCAACACTTGTCACCCAATCATTTATTGTTCTTTGGTGGATGATCTGTATAGTTGTTGTGTATAGGTCTTAGGCGTCAAACCTTTTTGTAGTTTGGTAAGATGCACCCTCTAGCTAGAGCTTTCTTTAAACAGGGGAGAATTCAGACACCATTGTATCTTGTGTAAACATATTTTTCTTTTCAGAGTTGTCACATTCAAATTGTACAAATCAACTTGTTTCAATTTAACAACTCAGGTCTCTCCTTATCCTCCAAGAGAAGAAAGGAGATGAAAATTTGGTAATGGAAATGAAATGAAAACTTGGTAAATTAACTAATAAATTGGATTTAAGGATGTTACTGTATTTTGACAAGCAATGGGTAAAAAGCCACTCAAAAAAAAAAAAAAAAAAACAAGGGTTGGATGGCAACACGTATGGCGTTATCTCTTAAGAAGAGAATGTATAAGTCCAAAATCCTGATTCCTAAATGTGGCCCATATCAAGCCTATAATGAATGCTTAGATTGAGAAATATTAATTTATATGAATCTGTTGAAAATTGACATGTTACTTAGTTATTATTACTTATTTACAAGAGAGAAAGAGATAATAAAAAAATCAGTTTATTGACCTACTTAAGTAATAATGAATTCAATTGTAGTCTTTTTTTTTTCCTTCTAAAATTGTTTTTTAATCTCTATAAATATAAAATTTTGGCATGTGTTTCAAAAACTAAAGTTTTGGTCATAGTTTTTTTTTCTTTCTAAATTGTCCCTATTACTATATTGATGATATGACATGTATTTAGTACATTTACATTACATGCCAATTGGAAATAGTTGTTGATGTAACTTGTCTAAAACTCTAAATGCATACCATTTCATCACTAAAGATAAAGGCTTTGAAAAAAAATTACAATGCTATAACTAATAAATTTAAGTTTTTTTTTCCCACTAGACTGAATTCTATTATATTTCTCCATAATAATAAGAAAAAGTATGTTGGTAAATAACATGAGAAGATTTAAATTCTTGTATTCATTAGTCAATTTCAAATTTATCAATTTGTGATTTTTTTTTTATTTTTAACTTTGTTTTATTGTTTTGTTTTATAAATAAGACATTTAGTCCTTTGATTTAAAAAATTACAAAATTTTAGTTTTATTATCATTTGACATCTATTAACTATTAAATTTTAACATTAATACATGACTTAATATTATTTAAGTGACATGACATTTAAATTTTTTTAAAAAGGCATATAAAAGATTTTCATGTAACTTTTAAACTTTATTTAAAAAAAAAAATAGTAAGTGAACTTTTTATTATTATTAAACTTTATTTATATTTTTTTAATTTCATTTTATTCAAAGTCAAGTAGAACCATAAAATATTCTTACACTCTTGTTCATTATATGTCAAAATTTAGGGTTAGGGATAATTTTATAGGGTCATATACCCAATACTTTTTCAAAATGAAATAAAATTTATCTCGTAGTAGTAACCAAGCTTTTGTGACTTTAGAGTTAGAACAATTATAAAAGGTTCTTATATTTTTATCCATCATGTGTTAGTTAAAAGATGTAATATATAAAAACAATCATTTTTTCCCAAATTTAGGATTAAAGACAAATTTCTAAGATTTATATACCCTAAATTTTCATGATGAATAAAATATTCATCTCAAAAGCAACCATATATTTTTTATTATAAAGTTATGACCAACCATTAAAGGTTGTAACATCTTTATTCATCATATTTCAATTACTAGATTCATTAATAATAGAAACCAAGATTTTACTAATATAAAATTAAAGATAACTTTATTGGATTCGAATACACTTAATTTTTTTTATGATGAATAAAAAATTCATATCATTATTAATAATTAATTATTTTTAAAAATAAAGTCAAAGACAATCATAAATAGTACTTGTATCTTTGTCCATCATATACTAAAAAGAGTCATCATACAATAAAAATCATATTTAACCAAAATAAATGTCGGGATAACTTTATAGAATTTATATACTCTACATTTTCTTATGTTAAACAAAAATCCATCTTAATAATAGCAACTATATATTTGCAACATAAGAAAAAGAAACAATCATTAAAGGTTCTGTCACCCTTATTCATCATATTTCATTTAAAAGAATCATCATATCTCATTTAAACCCTAAACCCTTTATAAGCTGCTGGAACATGCTATGGCACCCAGATTCATTCAGTTCATGTCCTTTAATCATTTTCAAGCAAGCAAAATCACTATGAATACTACACACTACCCAGCACAGCAGAGAAACAAGACTCATACAAACGGATTTCTACTGTGGACCATAAACTCGTGGTACACCCGTGAAGAAACAAAAAGCTGCAACTGTTCAATGAATAATTTAAACCATTTTTAAATTTCGATATGTAAAACTACGGTTATACCCTTGAATAAAATAGTTCCGTTGGTGTTTCATTGTTAGACACTATGTGCCATTACTCACACCGATATTCCAAAAAGAATGAATAAAATAATTTAAATTTAGCTATGTATTTTGTATGATTAAGTATGTATTATGTAATAATTTTAAAATTAAAATACTTAGTTTTCTATAAATTACATTTGTCTGATAAATAAAGCGACAAATTCTTTTTTTTTTTCTCTCTCTCTAATTGATATATTATATTAAGGTGTGTATTTATAATTTTGTATGACATTAAATATTAGAAAAATGAGAAGATAAAAATTAGAAGGATAAAATTAATAACATTAGTACTAATTTTTTTTTATCTCTTATAATTTTCAAAGCTCATTTAAAAAATTATTTAACTAGAACAATACTAACTTTTGTGGGAGCAATTTATTTTTATATTAAATATATTTAAGTAAAATAAAACCTTTGTGGAAGCAATTGTCCCCATATAAATTTCTAAGTGGATTAGTTCCTATGCACAAGGCTTTAGGTTTGAACTTATTATTGTGATTGTAATTTTTATTGTTAAAAAATAATTTAAACCTTTATTACTTTATTTAGATGAATGAAAATGATGATAAGCAAAATTTTGAAATATGTTATTTTTAATAATAAAAAAACTAAAAAGGGGTTAAAAGTTTTTATTGATTATCAATAACAATAACATGGTTGCTACACATTTTATTCATTATTTTTTTAAATATCGAGAATTAAATTAAAAGATGGGTATTTATTGTTTTTTACATTTAAAAGAGTAGAATATTCTGTTAAAAAAAGAAAGGACGAAAGAGTGGAATATAGAAAAACGAATTCACGACTTGCTGCGCGAGTCTGAGACTCCACACTTGTCACTTGATGGTTAAAATAGACATGGATAATCATATAATAATTTGTTAATTTATATTTTTAAAATAAAATTTGACTTAATTATTAAAAATATTTTTGTGTACGGTAAGCGTTAAAGTAGCACTTTTTTGGGCTGGAGCACGGAGAACAATATGATATATGGGTGTACCATATATCATAAAAACGGTAACATCGAAGAATTGGAAAGTGAGAAAAGCACCTAAATAACTTGTTTGCACTACAATGAATTAATATATGGCGCACATTTTCTCAAAATACAAGTATAATTTTTCAAAGTAATCAAACATATTTACATATCTTTAAAAAAAGTGTACAATTTACTTTTCTTTTTACCGGGTGAAAAGAAAAAATAAATCCGATCAGTGTAGTAAACAATAGAGCTAATCGTACTTTCTTTGGAAAAAAAACAATTTTTTTGTTCATAATAATATAATATAATTAATTATATTTCACACTGTCGTACATCTCGGTGCTAATCTAGTTTGAACTAAAATCATGCACTGCGTGACATTTTATCAGCAAACTTAATTTTAAAATAAGAAGAAAAAATATATCTGCTGCTTCAAGAAGAAACAATTCGTTTAAAATTACTAGTCACTGAAACAAAATTTCTATATGATGTTTGGAGCAAATAAAACCTCGTGACTTTTTCTTTTTTTCTTCCCCTATCACATTCTGTTTCGGCAAATACAACCTTTCATATGGTTGTGAATTACAAGTTGCCACCCCTTAAATATAAAAGGGAAAATTAATCATCTACTACAGTACCAACCAACTAACCTCAAAATTTTAGCATTCAACCAGCAAATGTTGCCTCAACTCTATTCTCCTGCTCGCTGAAAACTGATACAGCCTACTTTTCACCTATTCATTCTACTATTACCGGTCTAGATCTCTGACTATAAAAACGTTGCAGGTAGATGATTAAAACTGGAGTTACATGCAATCCAAGATAATCATAGCTCATCATGAACTTCGGGTTGCTCAGTATCTGTTTCTTCACTTGTGCCTTCTGAATTGTTAGCAGATGGATCACTTGAGGAGGAACTATCAGTTGAAGTAGAATCGGAATTATCTGTATTCTGCTCACTGTTCTCAGTTTCGTTCTTTACAGGCTTCTGAACCTTAGGCTTCGGCTTGGGAATTTTATTAATGCTGGCAACCTGTTAATGCAAAGTAAACACGTCATCACTCATCAATACGAATAGCACTACTTTCTTGGACTAGTAAGATCAAAATAGTCAAAATCGAGATTCTAGTCAGAATCTAGAGTCACATGATCGTAATACGAAACCTAAGATTCTACAAGATTTATAAAACCCAAATATATGCATCTAGCATAACATAAATAAGAGGAAAAAAATCATAATCATATATTCAACAGCATAATAAAGTCAATAACTAAATATATCACGTGCCAATAGAGTATCTTGATTTTGAAAAGTAGAAGAGACATGTACCTTATTTTGCAGATCAAGCACCTTTAAATATACTTCTTCAGATGTAAATGCTGGCTTACTGAATCCAGAAGTACTTCAAAACAAGTACAGAATAAGAAATTAATATTGGATTACATTAAAACTATAATGTGCACATTGCAATTTCACCAATGGTCAAAGTCAAGTTGGCAGTCCGCTAAGTGAAAAAAATGAATACTTTACACAGCTAGATCAGTCCATTTTCTTGAATATTCAGACACATAAACGAAAGGTACAATATGATCTCAAAACAAGGAAATAATCTAAAACTTGAAGCCATCAATGATACGATTCAGATGATCCATTGGTCATCCTGAAATTATTTACAGTCCTTATGGAAAGGAATAATATCATTGATGGCTTAAGAAAAATCTTAGGAAATTTTTATCTACAATTGAATATAACAGACAAGGAAACCTTGCAGAGAACAATCCTTAAATCTCAAAACAAGAGGAATCTAAGCTATCTTGATATTTTAAAGGACTGGATTTTATTGTTTAAGAATTCCACAGATTCTTGGGTAGCACCATACACTGCGTTGCATATACCCTGTTGGCAGATGTGACTTTCTTATAACACATACACTAAATTTAACAGATTATTTCATTATGTAGCCCATTATCATGGATCATATTTTGTGCTATGCAAGCTAATGGTAGCGTATGAAAGGAAACCATTTCCAAAGATAACTTCTTATATCCATGACATTAAGGTTGCACTTTGTCATGGAATATTATTTTTAAATTAAGAAAAATAGAGGTAAATGTTTATATAAACATCCACGCATGGTTATGAAGATACTTTTCTTTTGACTCTTGAAAAGTTCAACATAATTTTGAAATGACATGATAATAAACAACTTGGAGATACAATAACAACGAAATAACTATGACAAGAACTTACTTCTTTTGCTCAGCTTCTTTCTCATCCAACCAATTCTTTAATTTTTCAGAATTTTTTATAACCTTGCAAGTTAGGAACAAAAAATAATGAATTTTCTGAAGGTAACACATCAGAATTAATAGATTCAGTGTTATTGAAATCAAGTTAAACCAAATACCTCATCTACTCTTTCTTGTGGAAGCCAAGACTTTTTTGCTTTCCACTCTTGAACAATCTGTAGATGTCATAAATGTTTCAAGTTACATTACAAAATAGTTAGCCGAAGTTGAATAGAAAATTTTATAAATTACAATTGCAATATACAGTATACTGCTTCAGACATCTATCATCCAATCAATTGCTCATGGTACATGTTTGGTTCCCTAACTAATGCCTTTTCTATAGAAATTTGATGTAATGTATTTTGATTATATAATTTCCTGAAGTGGTGTGAATGTGTCCATATCATTTTCTAGGAATGGGCACGAGTGATAACATGATGAAAACTGGATAAACAACAGATAATCACTTGAATGAAAGTTGCCTGTTGACCAGATCAATTACATACATTGAACTTTGTGCCATTCAATGTCTCTAATATCTCAACAAGGGCAACAGATGACCAATCTCTACATTCTTTCAAATGCAAGAAGCTGAATTAATGTAATAGAAATAATAGAGACACATCTTTATCATATTACAGTTCCTAATAAACCAACATTATAAGTTTACACCTACAAAGTACAAACTACCCGTGTATAGAAGGAATTAGCAAAAACAACTACGTCCACCATGCCTTGTTTCACTAGGAGTGGTTAGCTACATGGATCAATTCACATTAAATAAAACCTTACCAAAAACAAAATTTACAGCATAAAAATATGAAGAAATAAAAAGTGCTGAAGCACATTAAACCAAAAGTTTGTTGATGGTACCTGTTTCAACTCATCAATGTATTTATGAGCATGCTCAACTGCTGTTGGTCTAGCTGTGAGCTCTTTTAACCTGAAACAGATGTTAACCAATTCAGAAAAAACTTTATCATACTATAAAGGCGTAGAGAGTAAAATTGATGTAGTTATACACTTATACTGAATATAACACACCTGAAGAAAATTGGATCTCCAACAGCTTTTAACTGATCTAGACGCTCTTGAAACTCTGTTGCATTGGCATCTTCACCATCTGTATACAACCAATCTTGCACCTGATAAAATGAAAAAAGCTTAAGTCAATTCTTATTAAAACCACTTCTTCTTGGTTGCCCAAGGAAAAGGGTTAACCTGATCAAGCTTCTCAATGAAGGATTGACGTTCCTCACTTGTAGAAACTTTTTCAAACTCCTCAATAGTTTCAATCTGATAAAAACATGAAAAGCATTAAGAACAACTTGAATAAAATAGCTATATTAACAAGTAGATAAAAACAAATAGTTAAATAATTGTAGAAGCATCATTTGCAAATCCCACCCTCCCAATACAAATACATGGCAATCAGAAGAAAAAAACTCCAAATAAATGAAGATGATGATGAATGCAAGGATAAAAATAAGAGTGAAGATCCATTGATGGGGCATTCTTATGTTAATTTGGCTGCAGGCTACGGTGTTTTGGGTTCTTAAAAAGTGCACATCCTCATTATTTCATTTATTAATTTTCTTCTGATTGATTTTTTTCTCAAAAATAATAATCAAGGCCAAGAGTTCAACTCCTTCAGGATCAACTTAAACAAAGTCAACTAATTGAAGGTCAATCTTAAAAATGAATTTCTGAATGAAATTAGGAAATCTTTCAAAGGCAAAGATTTCCCATCACATAATAGATGAAGGTTGTTAACATAACAAAAACCATAAGCATATTGTTTTGTACCAACCTTTTCCTTCGTAGAATATATATATCCTTCTAAATTATTTTTTAACTCCGCTGTTCTTTTTCTCTCTGCATCTTTTAGATCTAGTGCTTGTAATTTTCTTTTGGCTTCATCAATAAAATCTTGTGATAGAGACATTGCAGGTCCATTCTCAACAATCTGTAACCAGCAAAAGGAAAAAAACAGTTAAGAAGCAAGAAAAGTATATTAGAAGATCTTGTTTGGATTTTCCCCCCAAAAGTCACCAGCCAGTTTAAATAGTCACGAAATAAGGGTGGCCAGTTAGCTTTCACCTTTAATGGTACCCTAAAGGTCCGCTTTTTCAGCTTTTTCTCTGTAGCAGGCTCAGCAGTAGCTTCCTCCTCTGCACTACTGTTGGATGTCTTACTAATCCCACTATCAGTTTGCATACTTTCATTGTTTTCCTCAGAATTGTTACTAGTAGCAGATTCAGCCGAAACATTTGATGAAATTGTTGAATTCTCTACGGTCAAATTCTTCCTAGGAACTTCCACCCACTCTGTTATTTCAATAACAGCGTCTGCCCGATCCAGAGAAAGAATTCCACTTCTACTAATAGAAAAATGTATGCTTGCCTTGATAGGGGCTGACAGATTCCGAGATGAGTATCTAGAAGAACAAAGCAGAAACATAAATAGGAGGACATTAGAGTTTCTAAAAATTTCGCATGAAATACAATTCCTCAAGGAGCTTAAATAAGCAATATGTCCACAAAACGTCATGAAGTTCTTTTATCCTTACTTCTCACTTGCATCTGTCAAACCAGATATCTGGTATTTTGCAATTTCAGGAGAGGTAACGCCAGGAGGCAAATGATGCTCACTTTCATAAGCTAGTGAAACTTCAAAATCTTTGTTATGGTTAACGGATCTAAACATCTGGTAAGTAAACAATACTAAAATGGATCAATAAAATTGGAGAATATAATTGATTAATCATTCTTCATATATTATGTAGTCAAATTCAGCATTGAATCATTAATTGATTTACCTTACTCGGAACTTTCTTCATTCGTGGTACAAGTAACTGCCTAGAGCTTTCATCTTTCACGAGATCAGGACCATTCAACTCAACCACAAATCCATATAAGGAACCATCAACCATTCCTAGTTTGCGGTTCAATTTGATTCCATCACTTAAATTTGCGGCATGCAGAGCTGCACCAAGAACTATTGCTTCATCAGCATCAAGATGCCTATCAAGTTCTTTTCTCCCAAGGAATTCTTGAAGCTTAGCCTGTAATATGAACAGAATATCAATAAACAAAACTCTACACATTAATGCTGGATGGCTAGTAAAGTACATCTGTGAAACTAGAGCACAACCACTGTATCGAACAATACATAGACAAAATAAAGTGCTGCAATTTCATTTGACAATAAATAGATACCAAGTATAAGTTGACAACTATGTCACAGATTCTAGACAATCAGTTATATTCATATTTAAAGTATAAGAGGTTATGCAATTGAATTATATGCATGCTGCCAATCTCTCCATTGAAATCTTTATGCTAACATTTGAACTGTCAGCTGTGCTCTTCCTTTATCATCATTATTCAAATCAATAATAATAAAAAAAGTAGCAAGTGTAACTTCACAAAAAATAGTAGGGTCAAGCTTGGACAGCATGAATAACTAAAAGATTGATAATATAGATTTTAGGATTGTTGAAGTTCAGGTGAACACAAAATGAGAGAAAAGGAAAAAGAAAACTGATAGAGTCTAAATGCTCTCAGTATAATTGTTTTCTAGTGCTAAAAAAGAATTAGCATTGTATGCTGAATGGAAATCTAAATGTATAGGGAACTGTGTGACAGAAACAGTTGCAACTGAATCTGTTCAGTTGAACAGAGTTGAAACAAAACATTTTGACCATTATCTAACTGAACAGTTACACTGATCTGTTAGTTAATTGATTAATTCTGTTAAACAACATGAGCATGCACATGCTAATATACTAGCAAGGCAACTGCAGTATACAAACAGCATACAACTACAGTATAAAGATACAATTGCTCTGTAATAAGAATCATTAATTTGGCAAAAACTGGGGTCATCCTGTACATAACAGAAGATATATAATAAATAAATGTTGTTGACCATCAAACAAATATCTGCAAATCTAATCCCAATCTTCCCTAAGTGCACACTGCCAAAAGAATTGTCAAAGGGAAAAAAGATTATTCAAACCTGTAATTTTGGCACTCTGGTGGCACCTCCAATCAATTCCACTGCATATATCTGTTCCAATGATAGGCCAGAATGCTCAAGCAGCTCTTTCACAGGTGAAATCGATTTTTCCCAAATGTCCTCACAGAGCTCTTCAAATTTCTCACGGGTTATTGTGCTCCTGTAAGAAAAACGAGCCATGAATGAAGGACCCTTAAGCATTATATGGAGTATAAATAAATATATATATATACATATATAACTTGATAATGAAGTAAAATTTTAATTTCCTTGTCATTCTTTGCATTTTATTTTGACTATTCTATGCATTTTACTTAACAAGCTTGAGCATATGAGAACATTTCTTTCTTCACGTGTATTTCTTTACATGCCCTTTTCAGATTTCCTAATCATTTGAAAACAGCAACTTCCTTCAGATTGATCTCTACCATAAGATTTAAGACACCAAGCCTATCTATTAACCAATATGCAGCACTGTAACGGTACATGCAACTCCTTAACGAAGCTAAAGCTAGCATAAATATTACCAAAATTTAAGAATTGGCTTTGATGAAATTGTGTTTTACTTTCTGTCATTACTAGTAAATTTCTCCCACTCAATCAAGCTTTTGGGATTGACATCTCCTTGCCTCAGAGATGACAACTAATATGGGTTTGATTTAATGTAAATTCATGTTTGTGGTTATAAATTTTATTTATCACCCATAAATTGTTTTGGGAAAATTATAAGAAAATCTTGACAAGACTGATGCCACTTTACCAACTCTCAGACAGTCAGTTAAAGCAAAGGCAGTTGTCTTCGCTGCTGTAATCATTTTACAGGAAAGGTGTGATGCATGGGGTATTCTATACAGTTCCAATACCCATACTGGGTATGTTTCCAATATTAGCATTTATTGGATACATGTGGATCCATACTCAAAAGCCTTATCACTCAAGATCAAAACAAAAGCACCAAGTTTTGTTGCCAGGGGGTTAGTTTACTACTAAACTAAATGAGACAAAATGCTACATCACTCCCTTCAAAAAATCATTTGGAAAAGACAAAACTGCCCCCCTCCCTCAATACAAGAATGTTTTCCTAGATACATTATTAATCGACCGACTAGGTTTTTTCCAAAAACTAAATACAAAGTACTTTTTATATTAAACAATTCGTATATTAGTCAGCCAAAATAAAATAGGATAAAGATTGCTTAACTAAAGAGGATGCTAAAGTACAGTGTACAGAATAAGGTTGAATCATGATCCACACCGTACAAACACCGATTTTTGTTGAGAACTTTAGAGAAAGTACTAACATAGAAATGAGGAATACTGAAAGAGCAAGTAATATTGAAATTCCCGTACCTGAAGTCGATGTCATCATGGAGGGATTCAACCGAAATAGGAGCTGCAGTGTTTGCACTAAGAATTTCTTTGGTTCGCTTAACCTGTTTCTTCAATTTAGCCATGGCTTTGGGAAACTTCCTGACATCCACTCCACCACCAACTTGGGCGTTGAACTGATCAGCAAAATACTCGACCAATCGCAACTCCATATGCTGGCCACCAAGCTCCGGGTTCCAACGAACATCCTTAACCTGAAACTGGTTCACCGAAACGCTCTCCCCATCCCCCTACCCCTTGTAAGACGAAAAATACACAAGCGCCGCGTAGGTACTTCTGGCTCCCATGTCGTAGAAAATCACGTGTCTCGACTCGTTCGAGAAGTCCTTATCGATCCCATACTGCAGCGCCGCACCGGAATGCTCGTTTATCAGAGACAAAACGTTCATCCCCGCTAACTGCGCCGCCGCAAGCAGCCCTCTCCGCTCGGCCTGTCCCATATACGGCGGCACCGCGATCACCGCGTCCTTTATCGGAATCTTCGCATGAAACTCGGCCAAGTTTATGGCATAACCCAGAACCATGGCAACGAGCTCCTCTGGGGAGTAAACGGCGCCGTTTCCATCGTCCGCGACGAAACTCACGCCGCCTCGGGGATCCTCCTTGGCCTCGAAAGGGAGGTACATTGAGTCCAGGATCCTCTGCGCGGAGGCGTAGGGTTTGGCCACGAGGTCGCGCATTTGGGAATAGACTTTCTGCGGATAGCGCGCGACGAGGCCCGCCGCCTCCTCGCCGAGGAGGCGGTGGCCGTCGTGGAAGGAGACGAGCGCCGGCGACTTGCGCTTGGACATCTCGTTGATCGCGATCGAGATCGGCGATTGGCCGGGCTTGAGGTTCACCACCGCGACCTTCACCGATTCGGAACCTAGATCTATGCTGAAGACCGCGGATTGCGACGGAGAGAAGAGGAGCGCGAGGGACAGCAACACGATTAGCGCCACCTTCCACGGCATTTTCCGGTCGGAATGCGGCGTTTGGCCGCCGAGAAATTGAGAGAAAATAATTGAATCTCAGAAGTGTTTTGCGGGAAAACGGTAGAGAGGCTGATTTTAACAATAAATAGTAATAAATAAATTTTGAAGTGTTGTGCTTGGCTTGGTTGTTGGTTGGAGTGTGTTTTACGGGGTAGTATGACAGAGTGAATGAGAGTTAGCCCAGTGAAGAGAAGACACGTGGCTTAATGTACACGTGGCTGGAATTTATATGGTGTGTGATGTTGTTCTCACTTCTCCTCCTCCCTCGTGCTGAAGGTTCTCGCTGAGTCAAGACTCAAGAGTCTAGCAAATTCCCAAAATGACGCTTCTGACCTTATAAACTGTATGTACTATGTAGTGTGTATGTGCTCCCACCCAACCTTTTAGCATGGTTGCATCTGATTTTGATTGGGTTGCTCCCTACTCTTTGTTGTGTGCCTTGATGATGTATGATTGTTATTTTAATTTGTGAGAATAGTTTATGTTATTTGTTATTTGTTAAAAAATTAAGTCTAAAAAATATTTTGTTAATTTATAAATAACGTTATTTATTTAAAAGTTGTTATTTATTTTTAAACAAATTTTTATATTATACCATTATATCTTAATGGAAGTTGCTTTTAAGTATCATTGCTTATTAATAAGATATTTTACAAGTACTTCCCATGTTTCTAATTAACGATAGGTGTCAAGTGGAAGTGCAGTGATGTATGCAGCTGAGGCATCCTAACAGACCGGTAGACTTGAACCTTGTTCCTACATGATCCGATCAATTCGATCAGGCACTCGCCATCTATTTTCATTGTTCAACTCTTTGACAACATGAAAAAACCAAAAACTCTGCCCCTCCTCTCTATCTATCCAAGGGATGGAAGGGCAGAGGCCTTTGGTGTCCCCTCCAGTCGAGAATTAGGACTCACAATACAATGAATAGCCAATATGCTTGCTTTTATCTCATGCCTTTCTTCGTTCATGGTTCGATATTCTGGTGTCCTTATAATCAAGGTTTGTTTGGTAAACAATTTTTGAGTGCATGCCAAATGAAATTTTTAACTTTAGGTGAGATATTGAGTTTTGAGATAGTGCTCTAGAAGGGTTAGGCTCATGAAGCTCATCATTCTTAGTCATGTGTTTAGTGATGTGGAAGTAAATAGATTTCGTGAGTATATCTCATCCTTACTTAGATTCCATATACATACATCCTCAAAAATTGTATTTATGATTTGAATGTTTTGGATGATTTTTGTATCTCAATTGTCGAAGAAACTTAATATTAACTCCCTATTCAAGCTTGATTGGTTATGATCCATTAGTTGGATGATTTTCTTGTTGTGATAGTTTTGATTAAGGTTGGTTTGTATATGAAGGTTGCCTTCTTCACAAAGCTTGGGTCCTTCCAAACAATAATGTTTTCACCATTTCCAACATACCATGTATAACCATCTTGAATAAGAGCTTGGGTTGACCAAATGCTATGCCAAGTATAGCATAGATTGTTGTCAATCCTAGCTTCAAAAAAGTCCCCTCTAGGATAATATCTAGTTGTCAAGATTTTGGAGATGGTAGTATCGAGGTCGGAAATGAGCCCCCAAGCTTGTTTACCAAGCATAACGAGATTGAAGTCAAAGATGTATTGAAAGTCTATTCCTCCATGATCTTTTCTTTTTTGACAGAGAGCTTTTCCCATCACATTCACTTAATACCTTTTCTAAAGTCTTGATGTGATCCCCACCAGAAGGAATTCATCATCTTTTCATGTTCATTGACAATAAAGCTGGGGATAAGAAAGACATGCATGTAATAAATGGGGATGACTTAGACCATTGTTTTGATTAAGACTTCTCTTCTTGTGATGGAGAGGTCCTTCCCTTTCGAGGAGTTAATTTTCTTCTAGAGCTTGTCTTTAAGGTGGTTTTATAAAACCCTTTTGTTTCTTCCAATGAGTGATAGGATGTCAAAATATTTGCAAGTGCCCATGCTTTCGATGACACCCATAATAGAGGTGATATGGCGTGGAGACAATGGCTAACATTTCTTTAGAATTATACTTTTGATTGGGTGAGATGGATATATTGATTTGATGTTGTTTCATAAATTTTTAGTATGCCTTTAATGGCACTGCATTCTTGGTTAGTTGCTTTGAAGAAAAGAAAAATATCATCTGCGAATAAAAAATGTGGCTAATGGATAAAGTACTTTTACAGATCTTTGCTCCGTGCAAACTCCTTTATCTTTGACATTTTTTAAGGGATGTTAATCCCTCAACATTAATAATAAAAAGATACCAAGAAAAAAAGTCGCCTTATCTAAGGCCCCTTTTAAGCATGGTCGGTCTAATAGTATCATCATTAAATAGAATGTTGCATTCCATTTATTCAAGGCACATTGATATCTAAGCAATTTGTTTAGTAAAGAAGCCCAATTTGGCAAGAATGGCTTGAATGTAACCCTAATCCATGCGATCAAAAGCTTAACTACTATCCAGTTTAAGCGCAGATTTACCTTTGTTACCTTCCATTTTACACTTCATATAATGTATGACTTTGTTGGCCACTAAAATGTTATCAAGTATGGACCTATTTTTGGTGAAGGTTGATCGTTCTTCTGAGATGCACTTAGGTAGAATGGGTTTAAGCTTGTTGGAGATAACCTTTGATAGTTTTTTGTATGAGTATATTGTAGATAAAGATGGGTCTAAGGTCTTTCATAGTGTTTGGCTTGTCACATTTTGGGATGAGTACAATGTTTGTTTCATTGAGAGCTTTTGGAATAACACCATTTTTAAGCCACGAGGTGCAGGCCTTGACTACATAGTTGTTGCAAATGTCCTAAAAAAATTTGTATAGAAAGTGGGGTTGAATCCATATGGTCCTAGGGATTTTTCATTGTGCATGTTGTGGAGGGCATTAGTGCACTTGTCTATTTTGAATGATGTAGTGAATTGAGCGTTATTGAAATAAAATAACAAGATTGGTGATAGGGGAGTAGTCATTGTTGGTGTTGATGGTAAAAAGGTTGTTAAAGTAATATTTATTGTGTTTTTCTTTCCTTTGGGGTCATCAATAGCCTTATCATCCATGTCCAAGAGTTTCCTTATGTGGTTCATGTGTTTTCTTACCAAGGTTGTTGCATGAAAAAATTTAGTGTTGAGGTTTTTATCTCAAAGCCAATATAACTTTGCTCGTTGTTGCCAAAAGTTATTTTCCTACACAAGATTACACATGAGGATTTTAATTTCATTAAATTTGGCGATGGAGGTGTTGTCTTGGAGTGGTTGATATATTTCCAATTGCCTCCTAGAATTTTTGATATGGTCTTTATATATTAATCTGATATGAATGTCACACTATTTGAGTTTATTTAAGCATTTGGTTATTTTGGTGAGAAGTTTGAAACTTTGATATGCCTTCCAATTGTTGATGACAATATTAGGAAGATCAAACTCGAAGAGCCATGCATTTCCAAAGCAAAAAGTTCTACGAAATGACCTATCAAATTAACCAGTTAGTTTGAGATGGATAGGTGAATGATTAGATATAGTAGCAATAAGGTTTAGAAGAAAGTAATTAGATACAGATTAAGCCAAGACTAGGTTGCCATGGCTTTATCTAGTTTTTCTTCAACTACATGATCATTTCCTCTAGATTTGGCCCTCATAAAGGGGTAGTCATTGAGTATTATGTCTATTAGAATGTAGTTAGTGATAGCTTCTTTAGACATGTTAATTAGTCAGGGGTGTTCCACTCAGTCGCATTTATCATCAATGGATAAGATATCATTAAAGTCATTGATGATGCACCATGTTTTAAAAGTGGCACTCGTGACATCTTTTAAAATCGGTTAAAAGTTAAATAATTTTGAAAGTAGTTTTAAAATCAGTTAGATTTTAATCGATTTTAAAAATAGTAATATTATTTACAAGAATGTCACTATGTTATTTTTAAAATTGATTCTCTTTTAACCAATTTTAAAAGTATTTTTTTACACTAATGTTTTAGTTGCAAAACTCAATTGACATCACATTAATTTTTTTTCCTTTGAAATGTTGTTGAATTGTTTTTTATTTTTTATTTCATAAAAGTATATAATTATAGTAATTAAGTGATTGCGACTAGAATATATAATTGTAGAAATTAGGCGATTATGACAAAAATATATTTTGATATGAAATAATTAAGGTAATTATCATCGACTATTATGATCATAATATATAATTTAATAATTTAATTAAGGTAATTAAAAAAAGGATTAAATTACTTTAAGAGTAACTTTTGATAAAATTATTATACTCAATAATTTATTATGTATGTTAAATTTCAATGATACAATCATTAAATTAAAAAAAATTAAAGCAGATATCAAGTCTACAATTTTTTTTAAAATTTAAAAACTATAATACTTTGTTATATAGATTAAAATCAATATATAAAATATTTTTATGATTATATATCGATTTGAATTAGTAAAATGAAGTATCAATAATTTTTAAGTTTTTTTATAAATTTTTTTAAAATTTATATATGTAATATATGCTTTAAGAATTTTTAATATAACAACCGAATCATTAGAAATCAACATATATTATAATTATTGATAAAATAATTTTATCAAGAGTTATTCTTAGAGTAATTTGATTATTCCTTAGGTAGTTAATATTAATATTATGTTAAATTAATTTGAATAGTTTTTTTTAGGACAAATTAATTAGATTAGTTACGACAAGTATATATATATATATATA